CACACACACACACACACACACACACACACACACACACACACACACACACACACACACACACACACACACACACACACACACACACACATGCATATGTGTGTGTGTGTGAGTGTGTGGAATGTATACACATGCATTATATTTTTTCATGTCTACCATCCCATCCGGAAGGTTTCAGAGAAGTATATTTCTTCGTTGGATTTCATTTTCCTGAATGTTCTGTCTTGAGGCACAATTTCGAGATTTACGAAAATTAGTTATCTTTTTATCTTTAAGTTCAATAATCCATTTGAAACAACTAAGACTGTTGTCTTTATATTCATTATGATCTAATTATTGAGCTTACTTTTTTATTTTAATATCAGTATCATCTTCATCGTCATTATCATCAGCGGCAAAAGTATGATTAGTATATTTTCTATTATTAGTGATTGCAACGGCGATTATGATTTATACAACATTCTTATCACTATTAGTATTATCATCATCATTGTCTTCATCATCATCATCATTATTGCCATTGTCAGCCACAGTATTCTTGTTACTGCTGTTAACATCATTATAACTGTTGTTATTGTTATTGTTATCATTATTATCATTTATAATTATTATCATTATCATCATTATCATCATTGTTATTATTATTATTATCATTATTATTTTTTATCATTATTATTTATTTATTAATTTTTTTTTACTGTTATCAGTATCATTACCATTACCAGTATTAACAGTATCATTACCACTGTTATTATTACTATTATATTTATTATTTTTATTGTCACTTTTTTATTGTATTCATTATCATTTTAATTATTGTAATTATTACCATCATTACTATTATTATTATCATTAGCATATTCACCTTTATTATCATCATAATTATAGGAATAATAATAGTAAAGATACCAATAATAATTACTACAATTATAATTATTATTATCATTATCATTATTACTGCTATTGTTCTTACTATAACTGATATTATTAATAGTAATAGTAATAGTAGTAGTATCATTATTATTCTCATCATTATTATCGGTGTTGTTATCATAATTATCATTATAACAATCATTTATTTTCATTTTTATTGCAGCCATATTATTATCACCATCATTACCATTATCATTATGATCATCAGTTTCAATTCATTATCATTATCATATGTATTTTTCTTTGTCATCATCACTAATATCAGACTATCATTATAACCTTGACTATTAAAGTAAATGGCAGCTCTTTTATCCCATTATTCTCATAACCATCCTCCTTGCTATACTAGCTGCCGTGCCTCCACGCCCCCCCCCCCTCTCGCCGCAATCATGCAACCCCCCTCACCCCCGCCACCTCGGTCCCGCATTCACTCTTGTTGGCTGACCCTTTACCTGCCCTCTCTCCCCCTCCCTGCGCCGCATGACCTCGCCCCGCCGCCCGACCCGCAGACGAGGCCGTGTTGGAGACGGTGGGCGCGGTGGGCACGGCCGAGCCCCACGGCCTCCTCGACGTCCGCCTGCCCGTCGACCGCCCTTTCAACCACATCAAGAACATCTACGTCGCCTTCGCCACGCTGGCCGCGGCCCTGCTCATATTCATCGTCGTGGTCAGTGTGCATGTCACGTAGAGGAGGGTTTCACCGTGTATGTGTGTGTTACTCAGGGGACGTGTTATGAAAGGACACGATGAGGATTTCACTTTTATTGGGACAGTTCAACCTCTAAGGTTACTTAGAAAGTTCTTATTCGTTTAAGTTTAATTATACAAAATCAATATATAATAGCATTCACATTATTGTATATCTCGCCTCGTGTAAGGAATATTAATTTAAATCTCACATAATTTTACACCTTCCTAAAGACGAAAGCACACACACATTCTTATGCACACGTGACACGACACAAATTTATTTCAACATGTGCAAAATTAAAAGAACAGTACTAAGTAAATAACTGCATTTTTATGAAATACTCGATTATTACTTCAATTGCCCAATCCCCGGCCCCACAAATAAACAGGGCACTTTCTCAATAAAGAAATAACTGATTATCTCGTAAAGAAATAGCTTTGATTTTACTAATTCATCAATATATCAATATAGTGAGGCAACTCAACTTATTCAGATTACATTAAATAGATTCCTCAATTTCTTCGACTGACAACATAACCAAATCTTAGTATCTGATTCTCCCTCATACTTGCTATGCAGTTTATTAGGTTATTATCTTATACAAACATCTCTAACTGTTCTATCCTTTCCAGGAGTCGCTTCTACAATTTCTGCCATTTTCCACACACCTCTTGAATTCTTCTTACTGGATTAGACTGTTTTTTATTTTCACATTTTTTTATTGTGATGCCATTTGTCTTACCACAAGAGATTAAAAAAAAATTCTCATCCACCTTTTCAAAAATTCAAGTACAATTTGCGTGAATCTTTCTCTCATATCCCAGCACTGACCTTTCTCATTGTTCTTCCCGATGAAAATTTAAAAGAACAAAAACAGAATGATCACTATCAGAACTAGGCTTTATCTCTATGGTTCTTTCACTTAACAAAGTAGGCAGTCAGTAATTCCCAAAAAGTTAGGTGATTCGATCTATCTTGACAGATCCAAAGCTCTTTTGATTAATGTAAGAAGTGCTTCTGAGCACCCATTCGCCCAGGATGTTTCTGTAGATTTATAAAATTTCTGTCATTTCTTCAGCTCCATAATTATTATCATGGAAAACATATTCTTAGGAAATCCAAGTATGGAAACAAATCTGACAGAGTTATAAGCTCCAAATATGTCACATGTGTTTCAGGAGCAAGCTGTCCCATTCTGCGAAGCGCACACGCGTACTTATTTGGCCAATTTTCTTAACCCTAGAATCCCAAGGGTTTTTAATAATACCTCTGTATGGCCCATGATCGGTACAAGTCCTACATACATTCCTGTAAACGTATGGTTTCTTGACATCAAGGCACAGATTTTCTTATTCTAACTGGCATCTGAGGGAATTCTATTACGCACAATGATAATTCCATACAATCCTTGGAAGGTCCTAAATTAGGACAGAGCCCGCCGTGGAAGCAACCCAGTCTGAACCGCTTTTACGCAGCCACTTTCACCTAATCTGTAGTTGGATTCCTTAACATTTGCTCTAATGATTTCAAATTGAAAACATTCGGGATCTTTGCAGTAGACCGTAATAATTCATTGTATTAATGTCTTTTTCATAACTAAGAATACTCTTCCTCAAAGTCACCTTACCTGGTGCACTCATTTCAACATATGGGAAATCAAGAGCACAGAACCAAGGAAATAATTGCATTATACTTATAAAATGCTTTTATTTCTAATAATACCTATATGTGTGTGTGTGAATCTGTGTTTGTATATATCTTATGGAATACTACGCCCTTCACGCATCCCTCTCCCCCGGGGGCACAGGTGGGCGCGTGCCACTGCCGGCTCAACAGGACGTACCGGAAGTGCTTCGTGAAGCTCCCGCGGCCAGGCAAAGTGCTGCACACGGTGCGGCGCCCGCGGCCCACCTCGCTCTTCGACAAGGCCAGGTCGGTCTGCCAAGGCAGTGGCTGCAGACAATAGGGCTTTTCTCAACAAAGACTAAATTGACCTTTGTAACATACATGTAGAATACATACATTGTGAATTTCTTTACTTTCTTTTAAAATCAAGAACACGCTCTATTCAATTCAGTATCAATTTTTTATTTAATTTCTAAATCATTACTTCATCGATGTATCCATTTATCTTATTGGTGCATTTACATATCAATTGTTCATTGAACTGATTAATCTGTTTTCTTTTTATGAAGTCTTGCATAGCAAATGTGTTGAGCATTAGTCATGAGAGAATACGAAGGTCGCATCCAACTTCTGGATCCATATTCAAATACATTTCCATAGACTTTCCCATCCATTCCCGGACGCTCAAGGGCTAACGCACAGTCCCTCCCTCGGCCTCCCAGCAGACGCGAGCGGAACGGGGCGCTGCGCCTGGAGACGGACCCCGACGGCGCGGCGATGCCCATGACCTCCTGCAACTCCAACTCGGACGCCGTCTACTACAACATGGATGCCTGCGACAACCAGGAGTTGCCCCTCATCAAGTAGGCCGGCGGAAGAGGAAGCCCTTGTGCTGTCTCCTCCGACGGCCTCTCGCCGCCGCTGCGCCTCCCGAGGGCCCTGGAGTGCCGAACTTAAGACGGAGTCTCGTTACTGAAACACTTACGTTAATTCGTTTGTCCATTGTCTTCTAGATTTTGCGCCTAGTCAAGCTCGAATACTGGTCTGTAGTTGCAAACGAGAGTAGTTTGACAAATTTATTTTCTTGTTTCTTACTTAGAGATTCATATTTTTTGTGGTCAGTGGATAGTGAAGACGCGCAGCGCCATTACTTATAACCATTCGTAGTCATTGTCAACAAATTCTAGTCGGTAAGTGATCGCAGGCCAGATGCATGATTAGATAACTAAAGGAAATGTAAAGAGAAAAGGACCTAATAACACCGATGTAGACGAGAGTTCTGCAGGTATTATTCTGCTCTCATAGTGAACTCGGAACGCGAGGCTACCGGGCTTTGTAATAACTGCCGCGCCTTTAAGTTCCAGCATTTCACGCAGATATAGGCTTACACACAATAAGTTTATATCTCTCGCCATCCAGTTTTATCGACATGAGGTCTCTCTCTTAGGTATATACAAGGCCAACTTACACGTTTGTTTTTGTAGCGTTCTTCCAGTGTAGCGTTCACGACTTCAGATAGATAGTCATCCGAGTTCATCATATTTTTCTTGCACATTTGATTTTTTTAACAATGCACAATATCAGACGTTTTGCATGTTAAGCACCCACACTCGTATACATAAACTGATATTAGTATGAGCTAAGAACTAATTATATCATGTAAATGACAGTGAAAGTGAAGAGGGGAACTCCTCATGAAAATGAAAGGAAAGGTGGACAATCTTTTAAACTGGGTGTGCAAACACGAGTGTGTAAATCGGAAATCATATTGTGAATGAACTCATTTACAAAAGCTCTCTACCTACCAGTGAAAATGCATCAATGTGCTCGACAAATGCATCATTGAACAGAACGATTATTTTCTTAATCTAAACTGACTGAACCAGAATCCACTGTTGCATTTGACACGTGAGACTTGTTGAGAAGTGCCAGGCAGATGGCAACAAAGCCGAAAGTTTTGTAAGCTAAGGCACCCATTTGGACTTTGTTGAACGGAAATTTTGCTGCCAATAATCTACAAATCGCGGGACACAAGAGACCCGCCGTTTCTTCTCTTACAAGGAGCACCTCCAGGGGTGTTTCGCATTACCTGATAGTTGTATTTATAGTCGGTTGATTTAAAACAGAATAGATTCAAATTTTAAAGGATATTATTGATATTCTTCAATTTTCGAGCCTACTTGTCAGATATGATTGTAATGTATAAATGTCCATAGTCTCTTCTTGATATCCAGTATTAATCTGTCTTTTCCAAGGACAAAGAAAAAGAAAATTCAAGAGGAATATTTTTTTGTGCAGGACTCAAGAAAGGAAAAAGGAAAATGTACAAAGAGAAATATTTTTCCTTCCCTTTTTATCATCATCTAATATAGATATAGATACAGTCTGATTTATTTAGTGACTTTTCGATGGACCCTGTCAGGTGGATGGTTACATTCATCCGAGTGTTTGTAATCTTATAGGATATTAGTTGTTGGAGAGAGAGATATACATGTATGATTTTCATTAGATTTTTTCGAATATTTAGTGTGATAGACTACCACAGCTGTTTGACACCGTACTCCGCGTGAAGCCGAGGCATTTTACAACAATCGCGGAACGGAGAACACCTTCAGCCGAATCAGCTGCGGAAAGTAACAGATAACCGACCTCAGTCCTCCTCTCTGCTGCAGCTGCTCCCTCACCGGTTAGGTCGCTCGTCTTTGTACTGCTTCACAAGTGACTTCGTCACTCCTATTGAACTGCCTCCTACTACTCATGCTATTCTAATTTTAGCACAACTACGTTGTGAGACCTACTTTTTGCAGTAAAGATTATTTGGTTTATTCACTACAAAATACTGGCACCCATGCTACTTCACCTGTAGTACCGCTGCTACATCAGATTCTACCATCGATGCTTTAGCAATATGGTTTAAACACTTCTTGCACCAATGTACGGAAATTAGTTCACGGCTCTGCTTGTCTCGGATATAATTTTTGGTCCCAAAATTTTTACAATGTCAAGTTTGTGCCTATTAACTCTCTATGTTAAACTTTTTTTCTGATACACTGGTATCCCATTATTAAGAAACTCATTTTGCTAACACTTGTTCCGAATTTGAATAACCTACTATAAGTCTATTTACTCATCTAATGCTGCATGTACTAATTTTTTCCTGCTCTTTTCCTTATCCCTTAATTGTTTGTTAAGTATTTACGCCCACTCTCAATGAGTGTCTCAAGCCTTATTATAAGCCTACCTGTCGCCTTATAGTTGATTGTCCCAATTGTCTCGTATAAGGGTTGCAAGTAATATCCTAAGTCTGCTGCCATATTAGGTTCAGAAGCGTCCTCTAGATAGAGGTTGGTGACGTTTATTCACATAATATATGGACCTACTCAATTCCTAGAGAGCATAAAATGATTTTATAATGTAACCTTTTTTCCTATGTTTCATTATTATAGATCTACCCGCGGTGCTATGATAGCTATTATGGTATCATGTATACGTGGATCTTGCTGTCTGAACGAATATAGAGAATATAGGGCATTGGGAAAGTCACACGGACTGGCGAACAGTTGTAGTCATTGAATACCACATGGATACTCCGATCAACATAAAATATCCCAATATATAATATAAAACTTATAAACTAACCATAAAATAACTCGTAACCCGTCCAGCTGAAAGACCCGCGTGTTATACCACGTATGCAGAACCTCTGAACTACACCCGCCAGACCTTACCTTCTTCCATTAAACGATGATATCACTATTTTCTTTCCGGCCAATTAGACACTTACGCAGCTCCCTCACCTGTTCACTCCACCTTCTATACCACGATTGGCCCTGAGCGCGTGCTAAGTGTCGTTTCACTTTCTTTCCATTCATATTCGCACGCTTCCGCCGAGCCGTACCGGCTGTGCTCTCATCATCCTCCACCTTTCGCCCCCCTTCACTGACTTCATCACCGCGTGGCGGCGCCCCTCCTGGGTCTCCCCCCGTCCTCCTCGAGGGCGACCTCGCACCTCGCCACCCACCCCAGCGGACGGCAACTGCTCTCTCTCACACTCCTAGATTTTGCGTTTCATTTAACCTATTTACCGGCAGTCGTGCTAATCTATGCACTTGGCAGTTTCCTCACACATCACTTCCGCCTCGCTCGGCTATGTCACTCTCTGGGACTCTGACACACACACAATCCGACCTTCTTACCGCCGGTCAATCCCTCAAGAACACACTACTCTCACTCCTTATCTGCCCCAGTCAGCC